TCAATACAATCATAATGATAAATATGAAAAGCATTCACCATCTTAGTTACTCGCTCCGTCCAAATTTACGTAAGCATACTTTCGTAAGTCCACTAGATGGCGCTGTTTGTAACGTGTAGTAGGTGGACTTTCGTAGCAGGGTTTGAGATAGCAGGGTTTCAGATAGCAGGTTTGAGATAGCAGGGTTTGACATGGCATGGTTTGAGATGGCAGGGTTTGAGATAGCAGGGTTTGAGATAGCATTGTTTGAGATAGCAGGGTTTGAGATAGCATTGTTTGAGATAGCAGGTTTGAGATAGCAGGGTTTGAGATAGCAGGGTTTGAGATAGCAGGGTTTTGAGATAGCAGGGTTTGAGATAGCAGGGTTTTGAGATAGCAGGGTTTTGAGATAGCAGGGTTTGAGATAGCAGGGTTTGAGATAGCAGGGTTTGACATGGCATGGTTTGAGATGGCAGGGTTTGAGATAGTAGGGTTTGAGATAGCAGGTTTGAGATAGCAGGGTTTGAGATAGCAGGGTTTGAGATAGCAGGATTTTGAGATAGCAGGGTTTCAGATAGCAGGTTTGAGATGGCAGGATTTCATGGTTGTACTCATGCATGCGTCTCGCTGTGCATTGCAGGCATGTCTCCGTTCGTGCGGCCGGGCATGTACACGGGATACGGCCCTCCTGGCTCCACCTATCCCTTCGGCGGTCTGGGTGAGTGACATCACGTTAGCTACATTTATACATGACTAACTACACTTATATATGAACTAGCTACACGTATATATGAACTAGCTACACTTATATATGATTAGCTACACCTATATATCAACTAGCTACACTTATAGACTAGCTACACCTATATATGACTAGCTACACCTATATATGAACTAGCTACACCTATATATGAACTAGCTACACCTATATATGAACTAGCTACACTTATATATGAACTAGCTACACCTATATATGAACTAGCTACACCTATATATGACTAGCTATGCTTATATATGACTAACTACACTTATACATGACTAACTACACTTATACATGACTAACTACATCTATATATGAACTAGCTACACTTATACATGACTAACTACACCTATATATGACTAGCTACACCTATATATGAACTAGCTACACCTATATATGACTAGCTACACCTATATATGAACTAGCTACACCTATATATGAACTAGCTACACCTATATATGAACTAGCTACACCTATATATGACTAGCTACACCTATATATGACTAGCTACACTTATATATGACTAGCTACACATATATATGACTAGCTACACCTATATATGACTAGCTACACTTATATATGACTAGCTACATTTATACATGACTAACTACTCCTATATATGAACTAGATACATCTATATATGACTAGCTACACTTATATATGACTAGCTACATTTATACATGACTAACTACACCTATATATAACTAGCTACACCTATATATGAACTAGCTACACCTATATATGACTAGCTACACTTATATATGAACTAGCTACACCTATATATGAACTAGCTACACCTATATATGA